TTTACTGTCGCTACTTTCACTATATTTTGAATAATACTTTTCTACTTTTACTTGAGGAACATTTTGAATGCAGGACTTTTACTGTAACTTTTCCGAAACTTTAGGAAAAATATTATTTTCCATAACTTTTCCAGGGCCTGGAATTAGCATTTTGAATGTCCATGACTTTTCCAGGTTTTTTTAATGACCGTAAGAACCCTGATAGTATAATGTAAATGCACACAAAATCAGCAATCTTCACTGAAAGGAGACAAAGATTATCCATGAATGCAAAGGAACTTTAATAAAATAATGAGTTTTACAATTATATAGATTTCATGTAGGTTGTGTAAATAAGAAACAAGATTTGTTTTCATGATTGTTAAACCAGGAGAAAACAAGGTGGTGGGGTTCCAGGTTTAGTGAAGCTTAATTTGGCACTGTTTGAAAGTGAAATGTTTTCAGAACAAGATCAATTTTTTCCTCGGCAGACATTTAATCTTTTGGAGCCTCATTGGCTAAATTGTCCAGCTTTTGTCCGTCAAAGCGTATAAAGTGCCATCCTTCGCTGTCTGTGAGGTCCTGAGCGCCTTGAGCAGCGTAGAAGTCTCTGGACGGGGTATTCCAGTCCAGCACTGATAACTGCAGCCGCACACACTGCTTCTCCTTCCCCACCTGAGAAACAGAACAGTCATCTTCTTCTTCATCACACTGGACATGTTTTCTTTAAATGTGCTTTAGAGGCCAACAAACAATCCTTGGTGTGCCCCATTAGCTCAACGTGTGTCAAATGTATGGGAGTCTTTACCGCATGTCGTCCTCTCACTCTCTCCCTTTCCTGTCAATGTTAAGCTGTAATAGTCCAAAATAATCTTTAAAGAAAGCACATTCTTACCTTAGCGACTTTGCAAAGTAAACCCTTTCCAAATCCATTTCCTGTAAAGGTAAATAAAAAAAAAACATTTACCAAATCAATGAAACAGAAATCGCAAGACGAAGACAGTAAAACGTATTTGTGAGAAGTACACATAGTTTACCTCTGAATTCTGGCATCACGTACAGGTCCTCCAAAAACACTGTCGGCCCCTTCCATGTACTGTAAGTGTAAAAGTAAAGGGCGTATCCAACTACTGTGAATCCTACATGGACAAAAAGGAACAAAGACAAGCAGAAAGAGTTACAGAAACATTGAAATGGCGGCAAATAAGAGCATTGTTTTCTTGTTTTGCATTTAAAAAAATCATTATTGACCTTTTATTATCTGTGCTAGATGCCTATAAGTTTGAAGCATGCTGACGGGGGGAGATAACCATGGCTTTGATCGACACTTTACCATCTTTAGATTTATTCTCCTCAGGCACTTCTGCAACGAGGCATTCAAAGAAAGGATTCTGGCAGAAACCGTCCCGCTCCAGTTCTAAAGTAAACAAACAAACAAACAAACAAATTAAGCACCTAAAAGCAACATTTTACATTATAAATAATATGAATTATCTGCAACCAAGTGACACATCATAAACAAGACTTGAAACATTTCAAAATTAATTTGCAACTCTGCTCTTATTAAGCTAAGATAATAACACTGCTACAAAATATTAAATTACACAAGAAACTAAGAAATGATTTGACTTTAGCACAACCAACTACTGCACATCTTTTAATTGGAAGGTTTTATGCAGACTAAGTTGTTAACTCATAAACATATTGAATGCATTTCCTACTTCAGTATGTGTACTTTTACTTAAGTAAACTAGTACTTCTTCCAACACCAGTAGAAATCTATGTACAACTACACTAGTGTTCAAAAACTCAACCCTGGTTTGTATTGTACACATCAGTCACACTTTGTACTGTCTGGTTGCTGCGTTTATGTTCACCGCTGCTTTCTAAACAGACCCTCAATGACTTACAACTCAACTTTAAACCGTTATAAAGGGAGACAGCTTGGATTAGGAGTAACTCATACAGAAACTCAGCTTGCATGACAAACAATGTTGGAAAAGTGGAAAGAAATCAGTGCCATGCACTCCTGATCCTGAAGGTCCAAACTCACTGTAATACAGTTACTGATTAATGCAAACCTGTTTATCTTTGTCTCGTTGCAAAGTCTTGCATTTCCTATTTCAGGCTATAATAACGGACACTGTAGCCTACACTTTAGACAGTGGTGGAAAAAGTATTCAGATTCTTTACTTTATTAAAAGTAATAATACCACACTGTTATCATACTCAATTTGAACTAAAAGTACTGCATCGAGAATGTACCTTAAATAAAAGTATGAAGGTACGATTAGAAAAATGTACTAGGAGTAAAAGGTCTTGCAGGAAAAACTCTTAATTATTTCAAAGCAAAGTTGCTGCCAATAATTTTCTGGTACCACTTGTGGTTTTTGTGAACTTAAATATAATGTTGGATGGTTTAATCTATACCAAAAAAAAGCATTGTGTGTCAATATCTTTATTTATAAAGTTACTAGTAAATACATCTGTAAAATAATTGTAGTGGCCAAAATGTAGTACAGTAGAAGTATCAAGAAGTAAAAAATAAAAATACTCCAGTTAAGTACAAGTACCCTCAAATGTGTACTTAAGTGCAGTACTTGAGTAAATGTACGTAGTTACTTTCCACCACTGCACTTTAGACAATGTCACACTTCAACATGCAAACCCAGTAGCACTCATAATAACTGATATGCTGGTACTATAGAGCTCTTTCACAGACATTGATATCCAGAGTAGGAAAAACACAGCATTTGTTTTAATTATCGATTGCCATCACTTGGTGTGTTTGTCCAATACATTATGAGGAGCATTACCTTCATGGGATATCTTCGCTTGGTCGGGCATTTTTTCATAAACCGCCAATTCCTGAGAAAAAGGGGGTTAAAACCACACTTTATGTGTCAATATGTATACAATAAATGGCGTGAGGCTCTTTCATTTAACAAATAAGACGTTCAACCTAAAGTTATGGTTTCAACACACAGTGAAGTCAGGGTTTATTACATTAGGTACAGTAAAGCAACATGTCAGCTCAACAACACAAACCTCACCAATATCATTCTCGATATTTCTTTGCAGTCTTCTTTTGTTGCAGGCCGTAGTTTGAAATGCATCTTTGGTTCTAATTCTCTACAATTCACTCTTTATCCTGACTTCTCCTATCTTGTTCCTCAGAGACAGACGTCAAGTGACTACAAACAGTAACCGCGTTGATGTTAAAAACAGACTTTGCGCTAAACCGGAAGTTCCGGCGGGTCAGTTTGGTTTGATCCTTCAAAATAAAAGATCAGTCAATTCGTGTAAGATTTGGTGGGAACACATGTCTACATTACCCTGCTATTAATTTGAATAGGCTATTCAAATAATATTAGGCATTGACGTTTTGCACACTACAAAGAAAGTGTTAAATGGACTATCATTACATGTCATGCCATATAGCGCTCCTCTCTGAGAAATTGCACTATTTATCAACTCTAAATAAACAGGCTGGTATTCAAGTAATTATACACCAAAGTAAAATGATCTAAAATCTATCAAAATGTATTGGTAATATTGTAAATCTGCACAAAGTGAGAATCGATTTGAATTAGACTCTCGAACCAAAACACTTGAGTAACAGAATTGAACCTGTGGATTTTAGTATGTTTTACACGTGAATAAATATATTTCCGGAGAATGATTTCATAAAATCATTATAATGTTCCTGGCAGATTATGAGTTCCTACATATTTCATGAAAAGATAGTTGTATTAATTAAAAGATCAAACTAGTTCACATAAAATTAAAGGACATTTAGAGTTACAGGGCTGGCTTGGACATAATCATCTCCTGACTTATTTAAACAGGGAGGGCAAATACTCACAAATAAGACCTATCCTCATCACTCCCTGACTGTCTACTCACTGAGTTGTAAATACAAATATTTTGAGATGGTTAAACATGCCACCTAATGGATTGACATGGTGTTACATCTAGGATTGGATTTAGATGAAATAACTGTGAAATGAAGGAAGGTCAGAGGTAGGTTGTTTAATTAAAAGCATATAGATTACACACAGGTTTTTGTAAATATGTAACATATTACATAATGATGATGAACCACAAGAAAAAAAGGTGGTGAGGTCCCAGGTTGTGAAGTTTAAATTGGTAATGTTTTATAACCAAACACATTGTTTGTACCAAGATACATTTATTTCCTTGGCTGACTTCTAATCTTGTGGAGCTTCATTGGCCAAGTTGTCCAGGTGTTGTTTATCAAAACATGTGAAGTGCCAGCCTTGGCTGTCTGTGATGTCCTGAGCGCCTTTAGCAGCGTAGAAGTCTCTGGACGGGGTATTCCAGTCTGAGACAATAAACTCCATCAGCACACACTGCTTCTTCTTCCCCATCTGAGGAAACAGAACAGTCTCCTTCATCAAACAGGACAATTTGAAAAGAAGACTATGCTTTAGAGGCCAAGAAACACATCCTTAGCAGGGGTGTCAAACTCAAATACACAGATGGGCCAAAATAGAAAAAACTAGTCGAGGGCCGGACTGGTTCAATGTTTATTGCAAAACTTATTGAAATGAACTCATTGCACATATTAAACCTGGAACTAACAAAGCTTAAATTATTGCCTATAAAAACAACTTTAAACATTAAATAATCAGTTGCATTCATTTCTTATGGCTCTATCTGCAGCTTTTCCAGAGTCATTTCTTATGATTACATTTTCCCACAGGCCAACAACAGCTTCAACAAAACTATTTCCCTCAAAGAAAAAACCAAACATGCCCTGTTGTCTCAAGAAAGAAAGTGCAGAAGGAAACATCCATTAAACTCAGTGTGCTGCTCTGTGATGCTAGCTCAGATACTTGGCATCTCATCTTGGGTGCAAGTTCATCAATGTTTGGGGTCAGGCTCTGAGCTGAGGAAACCCTCAGGATGGAGTGAAGGTGTG